TCTGTCAAATAAATAAATAAAATCTTTAAAAAAAAAAAAATAAAGAAAGTTTACTTTTAATGTTAAGGAAAAATATAACTGATTTAGTGAGAGATTGTTATTAGTAAACCAACGTAAGATGTCTTTTGTTTAAAGGGTTTATGTTTATGTAGCCAAAGTAGTAGATTCATGCCTTGGTTCTCCTGTTTGTGTCAAATGGTACGTACTTTGTTCTCTTTTTTAAGTACCTGCTTTCTAATGGGACCCGTGAAGCAGCTGAAGAAGATGTTTGAAACAACGAGATTGCTCGCAACGATTATTATGCTCGTAAGTAGATGATGAAAACTCAAACTTAGAGAAGGGGTTTTTGCATTATTATCTTGCAGACGATTGTTTGCTTTTATATGCGCACGTTGAAATTTCTCGTACTGCGCGTAGCGACCCTGCCCTCGGGCTGTGCGTTCAGGAGTCAGAGGATCCAGTTACTTACATCGACTGACTTGCGTAGTGCTCCTCTCTGTCGCATGTACCTACCATCGGAGCTCTGAGTGTTTAATGTGGAGCTGGCCCTTTCCCAGCCCCAGAGAGTGCCTCATGACGGAGGCCCGTGTGTGCTCTTCGGAGGGGGCGGCTGGGACACAGGGCTCCCCAGAGGCCGTCCATCTCTTCTCTCAGGGACGCTCGGCTTCCTCCAGGTAGCCTGTCGTCTGGCTTCTGTCCCTTCCCCGTGTGACTGTGTAGTCCCGGCAGCGCGGCCTCCGAGCCATGCCTTTCAGGATGCCGTTCATCACCTGCTGGGTCTAGTGCACGGCCGTCAGGTCCTCGCTCTTAAATTCGGGATCTGTGTTGGAACCGGGGCAGGCGTGAGCTTGTGGTTAGGAGGTTTGCACGTCACGCATTTTGGGTTCTTGGCTGATCGTGGGCCAAGGAAGGCAAGTGTCCCTCCCTCTGTCCAGTGAGTGCCCGGCTCCTGGTGGGCTTGTCTGTGTCTCTCGCAGATTTCTCTTCAAGCTCTTGAACTTAGGGCTCAGCATCAGCTCGTGTGTCCTGGTAACGCCAGGAGGCTTTGAAACAGCCACTGCCGGCGGGTATGTGGTCAGGAATGGCCTCAGCCATGATGCGAGGGAGGCTCGCCTACCTCTGCACCAGAGGCAAGGAAGTCCTTTTTAGCCTGACGTTTCATTCCCGTCCTTATTCAACTTCATCATATTTTATTACCGTTTTTCTAATTTTTCCAGTTACTTTCAGTTTCCTGTATTAACACGCATAGCAGCATATTAATACTCAGCTTCGTGTGGGTTACCGAAGCCGGTGCCCTCAGACGGGGAGACGTTTGTATTTTACTCGGAGTTTGTGGAGATGGGCTTTGTTTCGGATCTCCTGGAAGCCGTCTTCGTGACGTTCTCTGCACAGATGAGCAGAAGGCCAGGAAGGCTGCTCAGACATTCAGAAATAGACTATTCCCCAGGAGAGGCCATTAAGTGTTAACAGGACGTAACTTTGGTGGTGACCTGAGTCATGACGTTTCCCGCCAAGTGTCCTGCGTGCTCAGGTTTGCTGCTGACGTAATTCGTGCCAAGTCGTGACAGTGAAGCGGCAACTGGCACTTGCGCATCTTCTCAGGGCCAGCCCCTCATGCGGGCCCACGACAGGTTCTGATCCGCTCGTGCTCTAGAGCAGGTCGGCGGACCCCGTCCTCATTTTCAAGAGAAGAGAACTGAAGGAGAGAGCAGACGACTGATTGAGCACCCAGAGTGTCAGGATGTCACGCAGGCCTGTGCCTGTCAGCCTCCTGCTTGTCGTTGCCGTCACCCCTCTGCTTCCTCGAGGGACACGGGGACTTGGAGTGATGGTGTCATCTTCGGTGTGAAAATCGTTACAGTAGATGCCTTATGTCAAGTTAAGTAAAGTAGAATTTTCCGGGTGCTCCCGGTTGTGCTAAGTGCCTGTCGCAGTACTCTGTCACTAAACAGTAACGCCAGCCCTCCCCAGAACAGCCGTCGTCCGGGGATGAAGAGCCGGGCTGTCGTGATGAGCACCGAGTCGTGCGTGCCAGTGTCGAACCCCTGTCCCGTACACCCGGAGCCAGTAGAACACGGGATGTTAGTTATACAAGACTTAAAAGAAGTGAAAAACCGTCCTCAATCATCCCGTCTGTTGATTTAATCAGTGGGTTATTTACTCGGTGCTGGTAGTTTGCCCAGGAACGCTGCAGTCCTAGACTGTAAGTCCCAGACTCAGCCCTGAGTCCGTACAGCTGGAGCAGCCGTGTCCTGGGTTCGGTCCTCGCTTCGTGACGCACGCCAGCGAGTGCAGGTCAGCTCTCAGAAGGACTCTCACTTGCCGTTTTTCTCTCCTTTCCTCCAGCTCTGTTTCGTATTTACCCTGTGTGCTGCTCTTTGGGTAAGTTCCACCCGCCGGGCCTGGCTTCTACTAACGGTGGCCCCGCACCTGTGTCGTCACGCCGCCGTCCCAGAGGAGCTCAGGGTCTGGTGTCTAAAACCCCCAAAGGTTGGGGGTCCCTAAGATTGTGTGCGGTAACGTCAGCTTAGTGGCTGGACTGGGGAGCAACCCTGCTGTCCAGAACGGACAGGTGAGTTCAGACTCGCTTTTAGGGCAGAAGGCCCAGCTCCTCTCACCACTCCCAGGCCCTGAGAGGCTTCTCCTGGGGGCGTTTTCTCGGTCTGCTGTGCTCCTGGCCTGGCCGCGCCGCACCCTGAGGCCGAGGATGCTGCGGGTGAGGGAGTGTGTTTTGAGTCACAAGATGTTGAAACTAATGAGAAACCAAAACAAATGAGCTAGAGGAGGCAAAAGGGGGCCCTTGGCTCACTCCGTTGGAAGAGCATCAGCTTGATCTCAGGATCATGAGTTGGAGCCCCACATGGGGAGTCGAGATTACTTAATTTTTAAAAAGATGTAAAATCACTCTAAAAGGGGGGGGTGCAGAAGAAGTTAAATTAGCCTTGTGCCTCCTGAGGCAGGGTGATAGCTCCTTGTTAGCAGGAAACGGCGGCATCCAGTCCCGCTCGCTTCTGGGGCTCTGAGTCGTCATTGTAGGAACTTATCGCCCCGTCTGCTTCCCAAAGGGAACAGCCTATTCTGAGCTATCAAGAAACTGCACACCTCAGAGAAGAGTAGTGTAGCATATGTCTTAGGACTATTCCATCAAAAGTGTTCTGATTTTCTTTTTAATTTTGGGGATGTGAGGACTAAGCTTGCATTATGTACAGTGCTTCTACCTCATTTCTCAACGGTTACGCCAGAGAACGCTCTTAACCCGTGCTCGTACGCCTGTGTGGGGCGCTGATGCCTGGCTCGGGGGTGGTCTGACCGCCTATTGTATGGGAGGCAGTGGACGATAAAGAAGTGAACACACAGAAATACAAATGGACAAGGAATCCCAGAGAGGGGCCACTTTAACGCAGAAACTGTTCGTTTTACGTTATTCTGGGAGATTGCAGTAGCTCAGCTTTGCTTCCGGAACGGGCTCCAGGAGCGAGAGCAGGAGTGACACGCGGAAGCCCCGCCGAGGACAGTGGCCCTGACTGTTGCTGGGGGGGTGCCGCCGACCTGGACACGGGGCCCTAATGCGCCCCCCCCACAGTTACCTCGGGGACTCCGAGGTAATTTAAAACGAAGATTTTAAAATTTAATTAAATTTATTTGAACTTAATTAAATTTAAATTAAATCTAATTAAAATAAAGATTTATTTAGTCGAGAGAGAATGAGAGAAAGTGAGAGCTCGAGCAGGGGGAGGGTCAGAAGGAGAAGGAGCAGCAGACTCCCCGCTGAGCAGGGAGACCCGTGCGGGACTCCATCCCACGACCCCAGGATCATGACCTGAGCCAAAGACCGACGCTTAACGACTGAGCCACCCAGGTGCCCAAATAAAAAAATCTTAAAAAAACGCCGAAAACTGTTGCACCAAAACTTAAAGTAAACGAAGCCATTGTCTGCATTTTGAAGGGGAGGAATTGAACTTGCGAAAAATATTTTTAAAAACTCTTAACTTGTCTTTCTCTGTTTTTGCTGCCGCTAGTGGCACCGGAAGGGCCTGGCCTTACTCTTCTGCGTCCTGCAGTTCTTGTCCATGACCTGGTACGTCTCCCTGACGAGAGCGCTAACATTCCCTAAGCGGTGATGAGCAGTTTGAGCCCTTGAGCTGGGGACGTCGGGAGGCTGTCCCGGGGTGAGGGCTGTGCCCTGGAGGCCGGGCCTCCCTCGAGGTCAGATGGGTGAGATCTGTGCTGTGTCCCTGGGGACTCGCCGGTCGCCCAGTGGAGGGGTGGGGGTCGCCGCAGCGGGGCTGCTGGGCCGGCTCGCTCACACCGTGACGCGCTTGCTGCCTGCTGGGTACGTGGGAGAGAAACGGTGGGGGTGTAGGCGATGTCGATGCCATGTGAGTCCTTAGAAGGGAGGCTGTCCCGGGAGAAGCCCTGGATGGCGTTGGTGACTGTTCCCTTTGTGCCATACCGCTGAGTACTTAGGGTCGATTTCCTCTGCTAACTGGGGACCTGTCACATCTGGCGCGGAGGCGGTCCCATCGGACTCATCAGTGAGGACGGTCAGCCGTTCACCTCGGGGCTGAGGGGCTCGTCCCCCGCTCGTCGAACACCTGTGTGTAAGCTTTGACTGCCCAGAGCCCCCCACGGAGAGGCTGCTGGTGACTCCAGGCCGAGCAGCCCGTGTTCTCTGTCTGACGTGCTGTATTCTCAGGCCTGTTTCGTAACTCATTCTGGGCTTCCTAGGCCATGTGGTTCATCTGCAAGGTTTTCCAAATGGTTGCAAATCCCCAACAAAAGAGTTCCCCAAGTATTTATTGAAAAAAAAAAAAATCCACGTTTAGGTGGCTCGGGAAGTCAGCCGCAGAAACTGTAGATCCTGCTGCTCGCGTGTCCCCGGTCCCCTTCTAGGCGCACTCCGTGGCACCCCTGCGCCCTGCTCACGTGCCGCTCCAGCAGGCACCCAGTCCCACTGCATCAGGGGCCCGGTGCACAGGGGATCGAATTGGATGAGCCCCGCCCCACGTACCTCCGTGTCCTTCCTGACACAGGCGTTTCTGGAGTCCGTCCCCTTCTCACTAGAGCTCTTTGTCTGCTCCCAAGAGTCCGCCCGTTCCCCCCGAGTGGCTGTCTTCCGTCCCCCTGAGAGCAGTCTCCGCTCTGGCCCCGGGTCTCCCTCCACCCGATGGCTGGGGCCCCGTCGGGGGCCGCATGCGCTTCTGCACCTGTGGGCTCGCTGTTTCCGTGAGCCGTGGCTCCTTTCAGCCAGATTCCATGGCTTTTCCTGTAATATGTTGCTTTTTTCTATTGCCTCAGTGGTACTTAATGACCTTACTCCCTAAGGGAGAATGCAGTTTATCCCCAGTTATCTTACGGTTTTTACTAAAACAACACCAGGGTCATTTCTAGTATCCCCAGCTCAGACTTCAGCAGGCGGCAGGGGCCCGGAGGGTTCGTGCAGGAGGTGGGGGGTGGGGCACAGGCATTTGCATCTTTAATCCGTGCCTGCCTGTCTGGGGGTCTGGGGTCCTGCTGGGAGGATTGCCGCACAGTGTCCTGTAGCCGTATTTTCTGTGGTGTGGCAGTAGGGCCCCTTGGCTCTCGGAGGAACGGTGTGCGGACGGTCTCAACACGTGTGAACTTTTCTCGCAGGTACAGCCTGTCCTACATCCCGTACGCAAGGTGAGGCCGCTGTTTCTGGTCCGCTAATGGTCTCTGCACACATACGCGGATTTTAGCAGATGCACGTTAAAATGTGATGTAAAAGGCTTTGTGTGTGTGTGTGTGTGTGTGTGTGTGTGTGTGTGTGTGGACTTTGACTTTTTTCCCCCAAAGAAATTACTTTTTCAATGAGTAGAAGTCTGCCAGACAGTGAGAGCACTTGGAACACACGCAGCAGGCGGGCTGGCGCTGTTTTTGCCACCTGGGCCTTTGCAGGTAGGAAAGTGCTGATGGTTCCATGACGCACGCACTCAGGACGTGGGACGTAGAGACACCAGCAAAACAAATTCTGCGTTAGAGATGAAGTGAGGTAGTGAACAGACGACATGGGATACGCAAGCATTTAAGCCGGCAGAAACATACTTACTTGCTATGTCAAGAGGAATCGCTGTCTTGTTACATTCTTCCCGGGAAATGTCCTCATTCAGTTGTGGAAGAAAAACAAAACTCAGTGTAGTCTTACACCTGACCAGTTCAGAAGAAAACTCTGTTGAGGAACAGCTTCATTTCTTTGTAAAATCTGGAAACAGGTTACATAGGAAACAGCAAAATTGTATGCCTCATGTGAACAAGGAAGGAGAGTGTAGAAATTCTATTTTTACCCCATTTCAAATGGCCGATTCTGTTTGATGAGTGCTTACCAGGAGGACAAGCAGACCACGGTCAACTCCAGGGGGCAGGCTGTGGAACGAGAGACTGCAGGTGAGTCTCTGTCCGCAGGACCCCAGCTGGGAGGTGGGGTGCCGCCTCTCAGCTCGGGGAAGGGTCGCCTAGAAGTGATGTCCAGCCCGGTGAGCCTGAGCTCGAAGCCGCGGCAGCTCAGAGCCATGCCCCACCCCTGCCTTTGGGGGCCGCACACAGAATGTGCTCAGAATCCCGGTTCATCGCGCGCTTCTAACAATCCATATACAGAGAGTGACTCTAAGTGAATGAAAACGAGTCATAGTTGAAACAAACCGTTTTGGCAAGAAAGTGTGAAAGGCAAAGGAAGTCAACGTGAATATTTCTTTGGAATTCTGAGGATGTCGTTACAGACATTCTGCTTTTTAAAATCCACTTCATTATTTCTCTTTAAAAATTCTTTTGTTAGGTTATTTTTGGTGTTTGCACTTGTTTCTTTATACTGAGGTTAGCATATGTGCTAGGAAAGAGGAACTAAAGTCGATGGGCCTTGAAACATTACTTTCAAGATTCGGTTCCTGAGTTCAGGCGACGCCCAGCAGAGTTTTCGTTGGGAAATGTTTAGTGGCTCCGGGTGTAAAGAGGTGACTGTGTGTTTGTCTCTTGGCAGGAACGTTTTCTCCAACATCATCTTATTTAAGGCCGATTGTTACATTGGTTTCTCTCTTTTTTTTCCCCACCAGGGATGCAGTAATTAAATGCTGTTCTTCTCTCTTAAGCTGAAAATCAGCGACTCTTTGAAGAAAGCGTTGGAGAGTCGCTGTTCTGGTCACTTCCCCAAACAGCTGCTTCGACAGGTGAAGACCATCGTGTGTACTGGTTTGATTAAACTGTTAAATGTAACGTGAAAGTCATTATGTGTCATTAACGTGTTCTTCCCCCAAATAAGGCGTTTTTAATCGTTGCCAATTGTAAATGATTTTTAGTGAGTTTTTTAATCCTTTCTAAGTTGCATTTAAGATGTGAATATTTAAGGATAAACCTATGCTCCAAGCTTTTTTGGCTCTTTAAAAATGCCTACATTTTTCTTTTTTTAAATTTTTAAATGTGAAAGTTTTTACTTTAAACTAAAAACTGCTTATTATATGTAATAAAAAATAATATATAAATCTTTACAATTTTGAAATAAACCCACACTTGGAAAAATTGTATTTTCTGGATGAAATTTATCGTGTGTCAGGTGGGGGCACATTGATTTTGTCCTGGCACCGTGCAGTTTTTCTGTAGAAAAATGGGGAAGATCCTGTCTCTGTCCTCATGCTCCCGAGTACACATTTGCAGATGATCATCGTGTCGTGGTGAAGGCCGTGATAAGGGTGTCGTTCAGGGTGTAGGCGACAACATCCCCCCAGGAGCGCCTCCACAGCCCGGCCCTGGACCTCCTGTGCCTCTAGGGTCAGGCGGGCCGAGGCGCCTGCCCGGAGGGGTCCTGGACAGCCCTGGTGCACGCCTCGGAAGCCTTGCCCCGAGATCGAGGAGGATGAAATGTCTCTTTCATTTCAGTGCTACCAGGGACTTTGTTTTGGGGACCAGGGTGCTTTGACTTCCTGACCTTTCATCCTGCTTTGCTGGTAGGTGTAGGGTTCAGCCAGCCCAAAGGGAGGCGTCCTCCCGGGTCAGAGAGGTGGGTCCGTCCAGGTGGCCCACACCACGGTGTGTGTCCTGAGCCAGAAGAGCCAAGCCAGGCCCTGACTTGATGCTTAGCGGGAAGCGGATGGGGCTGGACGGGCAGGGGGAGGCACCCGTCGGAGCGCCCGAGTAGAACCGTGGGGACGCAGAACTCAGTGGAAGCCCGTGTCGCCCACCCACGCAGGGGTCCCAGAGCCGAGTGCCGAGCTCTGGTAAAGATGTCTCTGTGGGGGCAGGGATGCAGCCCGGGCACAGAGGAGAAAGCCTGTGGCCCTCCGTGGGCCTTCGTCCAGCGCCTGTGGCAGCAGAGGCCGGTGTTCTCGGGAGCTGGGCGAGCTCGTGTTCTGTGCCTGGCGTGGCGTTTGTGCACTTGCTGAACCCGCGATGTCCACTGGCGGCGAGCAGGTTCTGTCTAGAGGGGACCAGCCTGGTCCTGGCATCCCCCCGGCCAGGGGAGGATGGACATGGTGTGGGCCTCGGAGCCTCTGCGGTGAGTGGGACCAGTGCGTGCAGCGCGGCCAGGCCCTGGCTGGCGGGTGCTGTGGGGACTCTCACTGATCACGGGAGAGCTCAGGTCAGGCCGCCTCCCCCACATTCATGTCCTCAGGAGGGCTGTGTGAGAGGGGCCCCCTCCTTTGGCCCCCCCCACCCTGCACCCTCTCCGGTCACAGCATGCAGGCGGGCAGCACACCCCGCCTGCCCGCTCCACATCCCCGAGAGCAGTTTGTGCCACGGGTCACGGCCGGGCCCGCGATGCGCTCTGGGGGCTGCACGACTCCCCGGCTGTCCCACGCCGTCTGCAGAGCTCGGTGTTGCTCTGCTCGTCGCTCTTGCCAGCCCTCACAGGGTCCCCGGAACATTACAGTCCACTCCACGCGTGACCAGTGGAGGTTGAAGGCCGGGGGCGGGTGTTGGAGGTGTTGGAGGAGGGGAACAAGCTAGCGTGGGTCCCTGGCTAGGCTTGTCAGCGGCTCCGTCACCGACTAAGCGCGGGGGTCCGGCTGCACACCGGTGTCGCTGTGCACGCGTGGGCTAGGGCCTTCCCTCCGTGTCTCCTCCAGCTGAAGAAAGAGGAAAGCTGAGGTTCTGCTCGGCCCGGTGGGGCTTCCCAGGGCGGGGAGGAGAGGGGAGCCGTGCTGGGCACGAGGCACTGGCTACAGACGGAGAAGAGACCGCAGGCGTCCGTTTGGAAGGCTTTTATACACGTCTCTGGAGACCTTGGACGTGAGGGCGTCTGGGTGCCCCCGGAGGATGTGTGCGAGCTCGGGCCAGTCTGCTGTAACCACGGGGCTTCGGACCACCTCCTGGATCTGGGCGGCGACAGTGGCGGGTGTGTCCAGACCTGCATCCGGAGGGAATGGTGGGCCCTGCGAGTGTCGGGGGCCAGGGGGATCCTTTGGGGATCTGGGGAAAGGGCTGTCCTGAGAGTCGGCAAGGCGAAGGCAGACCGCGCCTTCTATTCGTCTCTTGAAATGTCAGATCACCTCCTGGTGTACCCGCCGCTGTGAAAACGTCCGGAGGTGGTCACAAGCGCCGCTGCTCTCACAGAGCCGCTGGGAAGCTGTGGCTGCCGCTGCCTTGCTGGGCTGCGGCCCGACACCGCCAGAGGCCCGTGGGGGTGGCTGTGTGGTCCGCGCCGCCCAGGCCGGCCTGCTCCGGGCCCGGTCCCTGCCTTCCCGTGAATCACTGAAGCTGGTAGCAAGCTGTGTCTGTGGGGTGAGGAGCAAGTCTCACTGTGGCCCTTTGTGCGACAGCGGCGGCAGCTAGCCCGGCTTCGAGCCCCCCGGGAAGCGGCCCCAGCCAGCAGAGCTCAGCACCATGGTCCCCGGGCACCTCGGGCCCGCCTGGCGTTGCTGGCCACGCCGCGGGCTCTCGTGCTGCGGAGCTCTGAGCCGTGTGACCGCTCCGGTGCCTGACTTGGCGCCTTCGGCCTCACCCCTGCAGGCCCCCTGTAGCCTGTGAGCTCCGCACGCTCGCTGTGAGACGGAGAGACCCCGCCACGATGCCGCGCGCTCCGTGTACCTAAACAGTCTGAGCTCCGTGGAGAAAGGTATGACGTAAACTAAAGTGTAGCATCTTTAATAGAAGAGTTTGTGTCTTTTCTTGCCACACAACTTGCTTCACGTTTTTGCAGGCTGACGAGAGAGAGCCCAGCATTAAGTTTTGCTGTCGGAGGAGAACAGCCCTCCCAGCTGCCTTCGTGGTCAGCCGCACGGAGCGTAGGGCTCTTTGTGCCACACGGCAGGTCGTGGAGCGACGCTGAGTGCCTGGGGGTCCGCGAGACCCTCTCAGCGTGGACTTTGGTAATAATCCAGGACACTGTGCTTAAACTCTTGCTACCACGGACGGACGCACAGTGCCGTTCTGGGGCTGCAGACGTGCGATCACCAGGAACCTAGCACAGCCCACCCCTCATCTCTGTGATTTTCATTAAAAATATGTTAATGAAATGGTTGTGTTTTTTTAAAGATTTTATTTATTTATCAGAGAGCGCATGTGCAGAAATGCGGGGAGGAGCAGAGGCAGAGGGGGAAGCAGACTCCCCGCCGAGCAGGGAGCCCGATGTGGGACTTGAACCCAGGACCCTGGGATCATGATCTGAGCCGAAGGCAGATGCTTCACCAGCTGAGCCACCCAGGTGCTCCTGGGTGTATTTTTTTTGTTGTTGTTTATTTATTCATTTTTAGTAATCTCTACACCCAAGGCAGGGCTCACACTCACCATCCTGCAGTCAAGAGTTTTGTGCTCTTCTGGCTGAGCTAGCCAGGCGCCTGACATAGTGGGTACATTATTAATGTAACGGGCTTATTGTCATTGTGAACTGTAATAATACGCATTTTTTTTGAAGCCCTATCTTGAATTTCTAGTAAGGTTAACATCAGTAGATAGAGGTCATAAAAATAGAAGCCTTTTGGGTCCTGAGTGTCAGGAGTGTTGAGTCCTCAGGCTCGTGAGGTCCAGGTGAAACAGTCCAGAAGCGATAATTATCTTACTGCTGGGGAACAAGACTCCTAAGTCAGTAGCATCTGAACACTTTCCTGAGCCTTTGCTACCCCAGAGCTTCTCCCAGGAACAGTACGGTGTGAGAAGAACAAATTTAGGCATTTTCAGTTATCAACCAATTTTTCTATTTCCTAGGAAAACACTAGTTTGTTGTGTTTTTTTTTTTTAAGATTTTATTTATTTGACAGAGAAAGTGAGCAAGAGGGAGCACAAGCAAGAAAGCAGCAGAGGGAGAAGCAGACTCCCCGCTGAGCAGGGAGCCCAACAAGGGGCTCGAACCCAGGACCCCGGGACCATGACCTGAGCCAAAGGCAGATGCTCAACCAATTGAGCCCCCAGGCATCCCCAGGAAAACACTAGGATTTTAAAAACCGGAAGTAGCTCTGTGTGTTTCAAAATTCAAATTTAGCTTTTATTCTAGATGTTTGACTCTTTATTGCCCCATCAAGGAAAATCACTTGAATCCGAATCTGGAAATGAAGTATTGCCTGTGGGAAGGAGTGTGATTCAGAAAAGCAGAGCATTCATCTGTTTTCCTTTTGAAGTTTTTCTGATAATGCATGAAGTATTACACACCTTAGTAAAACCAAGAAATTGATAAGTTAGATTAAAAAAAGCAGCATTCCTTAACTCTGATACAACAGTAGGAGAAAAAAACGATCAGTAATTCCCACGTGGTGGACAAGTATTATGTTTATTTGAAATGTGACAATCAGATAAACGTCACAGCATCATCTGGTGACGATGGCATCTGCGCCGAGCAGAACACACAGACTGGTGGGTCCCCAGGTTGTCCACTGAAACCACTGTAACGTGTCAACGAGGAAAGTCAAATAAATGTTGGAAAATTAAATGTTGTAGGTAAAATATACGGACAGTTCTCAATACATGTATTTGATTTTGCAGAACTGACCTTTCACATCAGCCAGCGTACTTGCAAGTAACTTCCGTCATCTCCAGATGGCCCGGGCTTGTGGGCTTCAGTCGTGGACTGGTGCAGTCTCTCTTCTACTAGTAGGACTTCTAATAGTAGTCTCTGTCTCTACTCTGGTAGAGGTACGGTTGGGAAACCGATAAGCCGACCCCGGGGTCCTGGTGCTCTGGTTTTACTCGTTAATGTATAGGTACAGCCCATTGTTGGGTTCTGGGCACATTATGCAAAATCTATGGAAATCACAGTGAAGTTTGACCCTAGTTCTTGACTGGGGTTGCTTTTCCATAGCATTCTCTCTTCGGGACTACTGTTTGGCTGCCTGTCCTAGTGTGGTTTTCCTTACTGGTAACAGTCCCCGGCTCTCAAGTCAACTGTAAGGGGTCGTGTGACAACAGCGGCCCGTGACAGCGCGCGACATGTGCTGCTCTGGCCTCCTGCTTCCGCGGGGCTGAAGGGTTCCAGCGGCAGAGGCAGCTGGCAGGGAGCAGCGAGACAGTCATGAGGTTGCTTGAGCAGTTGGAAGAGCCCAGTCCCCTCAGGGGCGCTGCCTCTTCCCTCGAGAGGTATGGGAAGTCCTCCCCCCCAGTGATGGCGCTTACTGGCCCATCCGACCTGGGCGGGTGACGGGATGGCAGGTGCTCTGCATTCGCTTTTCTCCTTGGAGGTCAGCACACTTCCAGCTAGCCCCCTGCTCTGGTGTCCGATGGGAGCATGCTGGGGGGCGGCTGTTGGCACAGGGCCCTTTGGAGTTTACCCACACTTGGTCATGTTCCTGGGTTAGGCCTGAAAAGCATGTCCTATGGAAAAAAATGTCTTGGGTACCTAATCAGGGGATAATCCACCTTAAGAACGCAGGGGCTGCTTATATGAAACTGACTCTTGATGCACTGCTGTGTAGTTGAGTTTATCAGAGTATCGGGGGAATGTCTTCGCGTCTCTATGACTGGGACAGAAGTTGACAGTGAAGACATCTTCATCTCAAACCCGTCACAGCAATAAATACGCTGCTTTGCTCACAATGATCACTCATTAAAAGAACTCAATGTGGGCACCTGGGTTGCTCAGTGGGTTAAGCCTCTGCCTTCCAATCGGGTGGTGATCCCAGGGTTCTGGGATCGAGCCTGGCATCGGGCTCTCTGCTCAGAGGGGAGCCTGCTTCCGTTCTCTCTGTCTGCCTGCCTCTCTGCCTACTTGTGATCTCTGTCAAATAAATAAATCTTAAAAAAAAAACCTCGGGACGCCTGGGTGGCTCAGTGGGTTAAGCAGCTGCCTTCGGCTCAGGTCATGATCCCAGCGTCCTGGGATCGAGTCCCACATCGGGCTCCTTGCTTGGCAGGGAGCCTGCTTCTCCCTCTGCCTCTGCCTGCCATTCTCTCTGCCTGTGCTCGCTCGCTCTCCCTCTCTCTCTCTGATAAATAAATAAAATCTAAAAAAAAAAAAAAACCCTCAATGTGTAATATTTCCTATGTTATTGTATCATTGAAACCGGACTATTTTGCCTATGCATAAAACTAGGTCTTTAATTTCAGATGACGGTCTTTTGGCAATGGCATTAACGTGACACAAAGTGACCTACTCCAGTGATCCGTGAACCGCCTTCTCTCCGGCGGCGCGCTCCCCTCCGACCGACACCAGAGCGCGGGCCCCCGGGCCGGTCTCCCAGCGGCTGGGCTTCCCACCATCTTATAGGCGCTGGGCGGTGGTCAAGGACTTTCCCTCCAACGGGCGAGGACTCCGCCTCGGGCTGAAGACACAGCCGGCCCTCCCAGGGCCTCTCCCCGCCCCCGAGATGAAAACCGGTGCCGGAGGGGGGCGGCGGGCAGAGTCCGGCCGCTCCCGCCCCGCGCTGTCCGGGCTCCGTGTCTGGTCGCACGCAACAGTCGGTCGTGACACCGCCGGGCGCTCGGCTCCTCCTGCTGCTGCCGCGTCCGGCTCGGCCCGGGCCAGGCTGTGCCCGCGCTCGCGGGGGTCGGGCGGCTCACGGCTGCCCCGCCCGCCCATCGATCCGGGCGGCGGGCGCCCCGGCCGGGAAGCGAGGACGGAGGGGTGCTTCGGCGGACCGGCCCCGGGTGGGCGCGGCGGCACGTGAACGAGCCGGGATGCCGCGGCCCGACGCAGGTGGGTGCGGCGGGAGCACGCGGCGCGGGGCCCGGCCACCCGCGGGGGCGCCCCGGGTCCCCGCGCTGCGCTGACCGAGAGCCGCCCGTCTCCTTCCAGGGCGCCGATGACCCGCCGGCTCGGCCGCACCATGCCTTTCCCGCCCACGTCGCCGCGGGCGCCTGCCCCGACCCCGGGGGTCCCGGCCGCGCGAGCCCCGCCCCGGAGGCCCGGCGCCCCCCGCAGGCCCGTGGCGTCCCCCGGAGCCCCGCCCGCGCCCTCGCCGCCCGCCGCCGCCGCGGAGAGGAGGCCCCCGGAGCGGCCCGAGGGGCTGCTGTCCGGCTCCTGGCCCTCGACCACCCTGAAGAGGCCGCCGGCCCGGCGCGCCCCCGGCCCCGCCCCTCCGCGCGCCCCGGCCGGGCCCCGGCGCCCCGGCCCCGGCCCCAGCCCCGCGGGAGCCGCAGGGCCCGCCGCCGCCGTGCGCGTCTCGCTCAGTCTGACCCCCGAGGCCGTGCTGCTGCTCCAGCGGCGCCACCTGGACAAGCAGCTGCTGGCGCGGCCCTGCCGGCCGCTGCCCTCGCCCTCGGCCGCCGCCGGCCGCCCGCTCGGTCCCTGCCCCTGCCCCTGCGCCCGGCCCGCGGGCCCCGGCCGCCGCCGGCCGCCCCCCGGCCGCCTGCAGCCCCCCGGCCCGCGGCCCGCGCTGCCCGTGTCGCTGCTGAACGGCGGCACAAGTACGACGACGTGGAGTACGAGGAGGAGGTCCCGGGGCCGGACGAGGGCCTGGTCCGCAAGTGCACGGAGTGGCTGCGCGGCGTGGAGAAGGCGGCCGCCGCGCGCCACCGCTCGGGGCCCCTGGACACGCTGCCGCACCTGAGCACGCTGTGAGCCGGGGACGGGGCCGCGCCCGGAGCCACGGACACCGCCGGCGCCCGCAAGCCGGGCCTTCCCGGCCCCGCCGCCTCCCGGCCCCCGCGAGCACGACCAGCATCCCCGGCGCCCACAGCCGACTTCGTGGACTCGCCGCTCCCCGCGGCGCCCTGGTGGGGCCCGCGCGGCCTGGTCTGCCCCGCGCAGCTCACCTCCTGGCTCCTGGGATCCCGAAGCGCCAGCGTGAGGCACGGGCTCGCCAGACCTCCCCAGCCCCCTCCGCCGTCCTCCAGTCCAGGCTCTCCCCACCCTCAGCCGGGACAGCCCCCCTTTCCCTCTCCTGCACCCATGGCTCTCCCCGAGCTTGCCTTCTGCAGCATTCCGGCCTCCCCCTCGTTCCTCCAAATGCCCTGTGGCTCAGCTGGTAGGGGATAAGCCACACGGGAAATGCCTCTGGTCCCCCACCCCTAAGACTCCTGTATGTCCCAGAGATCCTCTGGCTGGGCCCCGGTCTGTCACTTTCTGCTGGTGCCGGCGCTGGGTGCCCCAGTCAGAGGAGCCGGTGTCCGCGGCAGGAGCGCGCACAGATGGTGGCCGTCTGCTGCAGAACCGGATTTAAGATTTTGCTGCATTTATGCTTTTGTTTCTCCAAAGTGGAAAACATGTCCCGGGTCGGGAAAGCTTGGAAACTCAAGTTAACCTAACTTTCCAACTGGGAAGGGGAAGGGTAGGAAGCTGGCAGCGACCCCACCGGGTGAGCGGGGCTGGAATGGGAAGGGCTCTGCCCGCACAGAGGTCGCATCCAGGCCCCTGTCCTGCCCTCAGTGCAAGCCTGTGCACCCTTGCCCACTTGTTCACACGCACGCTCACGCACCCACGCCTGTAACGCTCACTTGTGAACTCCCACAGTTTCGCTCACCCTCACCACCTCACGCTGGACTACTCACACGGCCTCGCACTCAGGGCTCTCACACTCAGTGCGCACACACACGCACGCACACACATGTGTCTCCAGAGGCACAGCAGCAGGGACAGCGTGTAAAGGCCCAAGATGTGAGCAGGAGCTGGGCTCAGCTTCTGCTCTGACTCATCGTTTTTACTTGAAGTGCTGCTCAGAGTGGCTCCGCACAAAGAATGGCCAAGCCCAGGGAGCGGGGGACGGGCAAAGCGCCGGGTGCCGGCCTAGAACGGAATGTTCCGGGTCAGAGAAGCAATTTACTGAGGGGAGGAAGTGGGAGCTGGTGGCTGGGGCGTGGGGTACTTGTGTATGTTTCCAGTACTTTTAATCACTGTGTAAAAATCAGTAATGCGGACGTATAGCGGTGTAGAGTGATCTAAAAAAGTTTCTATTTATTATTTGAATAAAGGGTAAAACTTTATTTAGGAGCCGGCCGTAGCCTTCCCCGCTAACTCCAGGCTGGTTTCTCGACATTTCCTCCACGCGTCATCATCAGATAAGGCTGGTCACCGAAGAGGAACCTGTTACCTCCACTCCGACTTATTTTGTAAAAGTTAATAAGTGGCTGGTGTTTATCTCGTTGGACTTTAATGTGCCAAGTCTTAATGACATCTTGTATCGAAGCCTTACATTTTTAAAAACCTAATTTTATATTTTTCTTGTGATGTTTGCTCTAGTCTCTCTGTCTCTCTGCACCAGTCTAGTCAAACGTGGAGCATTTAGTTCCGCGAGACGAGGTCGGCCCCACACGCCTCCCACTGACTAGCTCGTGTTGCCTGACTCCGCTTGAATGCCAAGAGCTCGGCTGTCCTTTATTTAAGATGAATGTGTTAGTACACCGGGGGGGGGGGTGCACAGGGGGCACTCTGGCCTGGGTGACGCGATGTGTCCCGTGGACACTGTGTCGGAGACGGGGCACTGGCTGAGGACAGTGCCCACAGGCTCGGAGTGAGGTCAGGGCGCACAGGGCCCTCGCTGGCTCTGGGGGTGCTCAGTGCAGAGACCAGTCTGGGGGTGCTCAGTGCAGAGACCTGAGCCTTCCGCTCCTTGCAGTAACACTGTAAGGACTGTCCCAAAGTAATCAACTTTTGTAAACATTTTTCCGCGTCTGCCCGTGTGTGTGTGTGTGTGTGTGTGTGTGTGTGGCCTGGATCCTGTTGCCGTCACAGCACACTGTGGCTCCGTGTGTCCCTGTTACTTCTTTGTCTCCTGCCCTCTCCCCCCTCCTCCTCTGGGTCCCCATCTCCACCTCTCAACTGGCTGCTGTGGGACACTGAACTTTCTCCCCGTGGCACCCGTTGAAGTGTTTTTTGTGCCTCCTTCTTCACTGTCCGCGCAGATGAGTGGGACGTTTATGGTTCTCTGTTTGACGACCCTCAGTAGGAACAAAGGTTCTACACGCAACCCACGACATCTCTTCGTGACCTTACTGACATTTTGAGAAGTTGTCTGAGTCCCTGTGCTGCACTTTCTTGATGTTCAAATAAAAGAGAAATTCAATGCCTTGTGTTTTCTTTCTGAGGAACATCTTTAAAACTGGTCAGGAAGAGATTCCTGCGGTGTTCGGAGCTGGAGTGAGGTGGTCTCCCCTGGTTGCCGCTCCGCCTCCTGGGGTCTGTAATAAAGCTGTGGGGGACAACTAGGTGACTCCGTCGGTCAAGTGTCTGCCTTTGGCCCAGGTTGTGATCTCAGGGTCCTGGGATCGAGCCCCGCATCGGGCTCCTTGCTCAGCCGGGAGTCTGCTTCTCCCTCTCCCTCATGCGCTCGCTCGCTCTCTCTCTCTCTCTCTCTCTCTCATAAATAAATAAATAATCTAAAAAGAAAGAAGGAAAGAAAGAAAGAAAGAAAGAAAGAAAGAAAGAAAGAAAGCAAGCTGTCTGGCTGTGGTACCTAGCCTTGCGTCCCATTGCAAACCCCATGCAAGCTCTTTTCCAAATCGCTCCCCAGACGGCCGCAGCACAGGACAACATGGTCTGCGTCTGCGTTGGGAAGTGCATCTGGGCACGCTCCCGGGCCCCTTCTTATTGCGGAAAGTGATTTCTTCCTGGTAGGCGGCACCGATGGGAGGCTAAAGGGTCGGTGTGAACAGGGGCGAGGACTGTTTGATTTCCAGGAAGGGTGGTATCTCCTAGGAAATGTGGTTTGCCTTTGGAATATTCGGGTACGCAGAGAAGAAAAGCCATAAAAGGTGTCCACGGAGGAAGACGGTTAGGAACATGTTCTCCGTGGAAGTGGTGGTATTACCGTCAGGGTCTCCCGGGGCCGCGCTGTCCTGTAGCAGTGGACAGGGGGTCGCGGACAGGGGCCCCAGTGTGGAGGCTGAGCCTTCAGGGAGGGGCTGAGAGACATCGAACACCGCGGCGGGAGCAGAAGGCGTGTAACGTTCTAGAGACTGGGCGTGTGTGACCTCATTCCACACATTTAGGCAATACCCTAGCACTACAATTTTTATGTCGACCTCCTTTATGTCTGGGAAAAGGGGATGGCAAGGGTCAGAACCTTTAGGTTCGTGGTTTCCATGAAAGTGCCCGGTTCCGCCGGGTGGCTCTACGCGACCTGCTCATGTTAAACTTACTCCGAGGCTGTACTTTTGTTCCTGTGTTTCTCGGCGTGGAAATTTCAGCCAAAGCGAGTCCTGAACAGGGTCTGTGCAGAGTGAGCAGGGAGAACACTTGTGCATCGCCCGTGGCACACAGATGCCGTTGTCACCGGCGGGCTGCTTGGAGTGGCCCCGTTCACACGAGCCTCACCTTGTCCAGTTACGGCTGCTGGCCCCGCGGCCTGGGACGGGAGCCTCACGCCCAGCTTGGAGACTGAGCAGCTCTCCAGTCCGGTCCAGGAGAACATCCCTCTCCACGTTAAAGTTCAAAGACAGAATTTCCATACCATTGCTGTCCTGTATCAGCCGTGTCTCATTAAACATCTCCGTGTCCTCTTCCCTAACATGGGGATAAGATGACACGGCCGATGCTGGGAAGGATTATGATGCGATGTGTGTAGAGCGCTGGGGACAAGCCCTGCTGGCAGCAGCTCGAGGTCAGCTGGAGTTATTACCAGCTCAAAACCCCTCACCACGCATAAGACATCCTTCTTGGCACTTACATGTGCAAAATCAAAACCCACCTTGGTTACAGTATTCTGAGGTTTTTCTCTCTGTTTAGTGCGTACCTGTGATGGGGTCTACACTTTTATTTCCCTGAGGAAAGAAAAAAGTGTCTGTTGTACTTTACCTTCTAATTTCAAAATTATTTAGTATTTATGTCCCAAATACGAATTTTACCCCTGAGCTGGTAGCAAAGACAACATTAAAAATAGTAAGTTAGATAATTTCAATACCCTTTGACGAGAACATGGACTCCTTACAAGAGACGAAGTTCCGCTTGGAGAAAATGATTTTTGTGTCGTGTATATACTTGCATACAACTCAGCGGGCAACGTCCTTCCGTGCAGTTTCTGGAAGACACAAGGTTGTTCTTCCCGCGGATACTTGTTCTTGATAAAAGCCAGCGGAGAATATCCTGTTGCGTATTTCCCCCACGGGACCATCCCCGCTGTGGACGTGGGTTCTGTGGGAACCTGCAAAAAAGGGTAGAGAATCTTTAGGAAGTAGTTTTAGTTCATCAAGTACTGGCTGAAAACTCTAGAAAATCATATATGAATTCCTAAACTTTTGGGTCTCAAAGACCCCTTTATACTCTTAGCAGTGCTTGGGAGGCCAGATAGCCTGTACTTGCGGGGAGGGGGGGTCCTGTCTTCCAGCACTTCCCGCATCGGAAGAAAAGACCAAGACCCTAAACGGCCTGGGGAGCCTCAACATATTAAGGCCCGTGAGAACCACTATGTCTGACAAACTGGGGAAAGGTTTCAGGATACAGATGATCTGGATCCCAAACCAAGAGACCCGAATTCAGGAGACCTGAGGGGAGTCCGCAGGAGTTCATGTGCACCTAGGTTTGGGAACCACTGCTCTAAAGGGTGAAGTACTGGGAAGTAAGTCCTCAGGGATCTTACCGATTGTGTTTTATCATAAAAGACCCAAAATATCAATATCAGAATCTCCTTTTCTAGGGGCCGAACCCCTTTCCCAGCCTCATGTTAGTCATGGGATGGAGAGTGTGACATGGTGACCCAAATCGTGAAAGGTCGCTATTGTGGCTTGGCCCGGGGGGACCCAGGAGAGCTGTGGCGCTGGCAACACAGGGCACCCCCCTTCTGGAGGGCATGCGTCTGACCCTCCTATCCCAGAGTCCCTGCCGCCTCCCGTTTCGCATTCCACAGCTCTACCCCACAACATTACCAGAGCGGGAGGGAGTCCGGGGACGACTGTGGACTTCCGGACTGACGTTGAAAACCATCTCCAAGGGGTGCATATTACTCACGACTCCTGATTTTACGTGCCAACTCAAAGAGATATTTCTAGAATATTTAACTTTAGCAGGATAGTCCTCCAACGGGCCCAGAATACTCCCTTCACCTGCTCAGCAGATCTCCGCCGGTTCCTGCTGGATGGGAGGCACCTGAGACCAAAGCTAGGTACCACCGTTTCCCAACCCATGGAACGAACACACCTGTGAAACGGCGGGATTTAGCAGAACGTCTGCTGGGATCGAGAACCGTGGTTGGGTCACACTTACCCTGGGCTGTTCTTCAGGACACCAATGGGTCCGTGTTGTCAGCTCAGGCCACCTTAGACGGACCAGGGTCTCAGCACTCATGTTTGTTCTCACAGTTCTGGAGGCTCGAAGTCCAAAGTCAATGTACTAGCAAATTCAGCATCTGGTGAGACCTCCCTTCCACGTGCAGACGGCTGCCTCCCCACCGTGCACTCACATGGCCTGTCCTCTGCGTGCAGCGGAGAGAGGGCTCTGGGGTCTCCTCCCCTTCGTGTAAGGACACCGGTCCTACAGGATCAGGCCCACCCCGATCCCCTTTCCTAAGGTTTCAGCTCCAAATACAGTCACGCTGGGGCTTAGGGCTTCACTATGTGGACTTTGGGGTGATGTCACTCAGTCCATAACACGGTCCATGATTTTGGGTGCTTTTTAAGGTCATTGATGTATGACAGTAAGATAAGATCTCAATTCCCTCCTACTACTAAGGTGTGCGTGTACACACACACACACTCACAACTTTGGGAAGCATGAAGAAGTGAGAAAAGAAATTTTCACTGAAATATGAAAAAAAAAAAAAAAAGTCCCTCTTTTGTGTTTCTATACACAAAGACATGGAGGTGAAGAGATTTGCCCCGCTGGTCAGAAGGGCTCCAGCTAGACTGTAACCTAACATTTTCAAGGTTGGTTTTGCCCTCCATCTCTCTTTTCCCTGCCCTGTGCTTGGTTCGGTGTGAACTCCTGTCCTGGAGCTCCTGATGGGGTCTTCGGCGATGGGACCAGGTGGCGGGAGGGGCTGTGCAGGGGGAGACTTGGCAGTGGCTGGGGTTCGGTCCCGCGCTGGGGGGCTGTGCACACGGCTTCGCTGCCCGGCCCTGCGCTCTCCCGGACGCACACTCGCACACAAGCTCCTTTCTGCCTTCTTCATCCTGTCTCTCCTCGGCCCACCCCTCCTTTCTGCCTTTCTTCTGAGCACCTCCTGGCTGCGTTTCTTGGTCCTGAAAGCCGTGTTCCAGGGCTGCAGCTGTTTCCGGGACTCTGTTACTCCCGTTGTTTCTGGAAGGCACCCAGTTATAGTCCGGTCTCTGTCGGGGAGACCATCACGTGAAGAGGTGAGGAGAGAGCGCTGTGGGCCCCTGGCAGGGCCCGCGGGGAGTCCTAATGTCCTTCCTTTTCCTTTCTGTGTCTGCATCTTTGCACGCGCAGGCGTATTTGCACGGGCACACATGCGTGGATTCACATGCACACAGACGTGCTCAGACACGCGTGTGCACTCACACACGCACACACATGCTGCTGGAGAAGCAATTATGTGAGCCGTTGCACTTGAAGTGATGGGGCTTGATTCTAGGATACACTTCAGATCACAGCCAACAGGGGCTCGAAAAATGCTGAACACGTACGAGAGGTCACCTTGAGGAATTCTGCAGGGTTTCCCTTCCACGGTACCAAATACTGGACGTGGAAAAGGAAACCTTGCCCTTTCCCCACACCCTCACCCCCGTTCTGTTGGAGAAGCACTATTTCATTTCTTAGTGTTTACGTCATAGGTGACAAGTGTCAGGAGGCAGAACACTGGGGCTGCGGAACAGTGATGACTCACAGGTGACGAGGGACACGGGGTGAGAGTGTGTGGGACAAATGAGTGAAGACCGAGGCTCGTGAATTCATTTGCTTGTGACGTATTGTGAAAATCAAGAAGACTGTCAGTACACCTGCAAGCATCAGTGAGCAGAGCGGGAATGAGGACACACCAACAGCTCAGCTCGGTGGGAAGATGATGGACAGACAGATAGACAATGGAGACAGAGTGCTGAATGTCTGCGTCTCTCCCGGATTCCCGCGTTGAGACCTAACCGCGGATGTGATGGTATTAGGAGCTGTGGGGCAGCGATTAGGTCATGGGAAGGAGTCTCCCTCCATCAAAGGGGGGTTTGTGCCCTGTGGGGAGTAAGTGACTGCTGTGTAACCCCCCAGCCAGCGGTGTTCTGTTAGAGAAGCTGGA